ACCTGCTCTGCTCATCAAGCTTCCAGAAATGCTAATGAATCGTGGAGCCAGATGGCCGAAGTTCCGATCTCAACTCTGGTCCCTACTTACTGCGTGGCACTGGGCAAGGAATTTCACCCTGCGGTGCCTCAGTGTCCTCATTTGTTAAACGGAAATAACCCTCATTAAGACACCCTGATGTCTTACGGCCCAAAGGGAATTAGCACATCAAAGGGCTCAGTACCCCGCCCAGGGCACGGCAAGCTCTCAGTAAAGCCACCAGCATCTTTCCTGCACTCCTCTGACGGGATAACACTAGTCATGTTCAAATACTGCATTTTGAGCTTAATGTTAGCACATAATATGTTTCCTGATAAATATACTGGATATTTAATTTTCCGTTTTGGAGGTATATTTAGAAAATAGAAAGTAAATGTGTTGCTGATATGCCCTTCTGCATCTTTGTAAATTACATTAAGGAATCCAGGCCGTTCAATATCTGTCTTTTCAAAAAAAAGTGCATAGAGACCAGGGAAGGACTTATACCCCAGATGTTCACAGCACTGGCAGGATTACTCCAGGTTTTTCTTTCTCCTCTATTTGTTTCCTTAGATTACCATGTTTCACAATTTTTCTTATTTTCATTTTTTTTTTATTTTTTGAGACGGAGCCTCAAGCTGTCCCCCTGGGCAGAGTGCCGTGGCATTACAGCTCATAGCAACCTCCAACTCCTGGGCTCAAGCGAGTCTCCTGCCTCAGCCTCCCAAGTAGCTGGGACCACAGGCGCCCGCCACAATGTCCGGCTATTTTTTGGTTGCAGCCGTCATTGTTGTTTGGCGGGTCCGGGCTGGGGATTCGAACCCGCCACCTTAGGTGTACGTGGCTGGCACCTTAGCCGGTTGAGCTATAGGCACCGAGCCATGTTTCACAATTTTTCTATCCGACTTTATTTAGTGGAATAACTATAAATGCTTTATTAGCATTCAGATTAGGCTTTCATTCAACACCTTTGATAACTCATTACCTTGAATTATGACTTTCAAAAAGACAAATAAATCCAGCAATTTAAATCTCTATTATTTCTTAACTTCCAATCATTAGATTACATAGACATAATCTAAATATATAATATATATTATCTGAATTATATATATCATCTAAATATACAATGTATTCAGATCACATACATATAATATAAATGTATGATATATACAGAGGGTATCAAAAACTGTGTACACATTTTAAGATGTCATCCATGTATTACCTTTGAAGTTGAATTGAAGGTACTTCACTGGTCTATACATGCTATGCAAATCCATTTTACCTGAAATTTATATGCTTTTGGGGAATGATCGATTTTACTTTGAAGACGATCTCTTAAAATGTGTATACATTTTTTTACCCCCCCACCCCGTGTATATATACACACACACATATATATACAGATATAAAATCTAAATAATCTCTTTTCACTTTGTCTGAAGTAAGTGTCTATTATTCAAATCATGGGGGAAAATTCAGCTTTCCTATTTATTTGCTTTGCAATTTTTTCTATGCAGGTAACTTATAAGACTATTAAAAATCTGGTAATATCTTGCAGTCCAATGAAGTCTTTAATTTTCAAATAGAAATGACCTTTCGAAACATCACATTAAAAGGATTATACTAAAAAAGTCCTGGATGCTAAAATAGTGTCTCCAGTGCCTGCCATGTCCCAGATAGAATTTTCTTGTGAGGAAACCACAGCTACTCATTTTTCAGTGGCCTCATTCAAACAAACGGACATTATTCCAAGATAAGATAAAAGCTATCCTGGAGTTCAAAGATGTCAGTGAGTTTTCTCTCTGAGCATCCTATGGAAAATGGCTTTTTTTTTTTTTCCTTGAGTTTCAAAACCAAGACCAGTTAAAGACTTAGATATTTCAAAGGAAAAAAAAAGTTATATTTTTTCTATTAGACCAAAATGGAATCTATATGATTCAATGTCTCTAAAATAATTTCTAAATCTGAAAATGTCCAAACATTCTCTAAGTTTAGCCAACCTTGGGAATTTCTGAAAATGTTTCTGATCTCCCTTGCAAAAGGAGAAACAAAAATAAGATTGACCTAAAACTCTACTCTGTATCTCTATATTCCTCAAGTTCTATTCCTCCCAAACAGCCTTCTGGTAAGTGGTGTCTGGTGGGAAAATAAGGCTTTCAAAGGACACCAATCTGGGAAAAGATCCCTGCAATCTCAAGGCCCTAGGTTTCTCACTGCTTAGAATGACTCCCCCCCACCAACTCATTAGAGAAATGGTCTCTCTGAAGCACCATCAGCAAAATGTTCCATTGTGAGATGTTTAGTTCAATTGCTGTGCTATGTAAGCTGAAATATGGTAGTTTCAAAATGTTCTCTTGAAATGACTGCTTACTTTACAGAGCAATGGTTTTCAACATTTTTTATCTCACGGCAAGCTTGAACTTGTAGTTAAACTTCCGTGGCACTCTTAAATATGTGGATCAAAAAAAAAAGTAAAAAGAATACTGTGCTTTGAACTTCTTTCAAAAATAATTTAACTAATGATCTTTAAAAAATTTCAAAGCACACCAGTTGAAAATCACTGCTTTAGGGCAGCGCCTGTGGCTCAGTGAGTAGGGCGCAGGCCCCATGTACTGAGGGAGGTGGGTTCAAACCCGGCCC